CGTGGTCCACTTGTGTTACCCATTAGTCGTCCTCCTTGTGTCTCTGCTGCTTTTCTGTTTCTCCTCCCCCCCTCACCTGTGTTTAATTGCTCCCCCTCACCTGTGTCTTGTTGGTGTCTGTGTATTTAAGTGCTGTTTCCTGTAGAGTGGGAGGGTGTGTGAGATCCTGGTGGCTGCAGGCTGGGCTCGCATGAGCAGCAGCAGCAGCAGCAGCAGGATTGAGGCTGTGTGAACTTTGTGCACATTGTTTTAATAAATGCCCACGTCGGGTTATAATTTTGGACGCTCTGCCTCCTTGCTTGGTCGGGCCGCTCAACGGTCAGTCTCACAGGCTACCTCCTAAGTTAATGTTTCTATTCTGTACATTATGTACTTCATGTAATTCAGTTTTTGCCGTTTTTACAGACACTCCGTGCACACTGCTCTGTAATATGAGTGCTATCTGACGGCCCAATCTGGGCAGCCTATAAATATTGAACCAACTTCCCTTTTGCAACTTTCCCCTCTCTCTCTTTCTGCCTGTGTGTGTGTTGACTTTCCCCTCTCTCTCTTTCTGCGTGTGTGTTGAAGAGAGCAAGGTGAGACTACACAAAGGAGTGATTGAGCGAGTGAGTCAGTCGCAGGGATCTGTTAGAGGGAGGGAGTGTTAGGGAAACTTAAAGCTGGCAACAAAACACTGAAGAGGGTCTGCATTTAGAAAAATCCTGCTGACCAGATAACTGTAACTCATGGATCTTTGAGGACTTAAAAGAAAGAAATTGGATACATAGGCAAAAGAAAAAAGTAGGGGAAGGGCCAGAATATAAACATTCAAAAGGAAACCAGAGGAAAAGAAGAGGAGGGAACAGCCACTCGGTGAACACAACCCTGAACACAGTGAGTATGTTTGGTTGTATTTCGGGTTCTAAATACAAGCATAGCCTGGGGTTAGAACTCATGTGGAATTTACAGTTAAAACTACACTTAACCTGCCTGTTGTCCTCGTGTCATTACCACATTCATGGTTCCATACGACTTTCCTACCAATAATTGTGTGTTTGGTTTACATTTATAGCATCTTGTGTAAATATTCTCTGCAGCTATTTAAAATGTTAAATGGTTTCAAACTAAATCCTAACTTTGACATTTTGTGATAGACACATGTTTCTCTAATCTTAACTGTAGTCAAAATATTTGCCTTTTAACAGAATGTGATATTTTTTTGTGAGAATGAGGTCTATTGAGCATAGATCTGTTAAAAAGTTCAGAAAAACCTGTATAAATGAGTATTCATGCATTTAAACACTTGGGTGTGCTATAAATGTCCATTTTCCTAACACCTCGGGGTTTGTCAACCATTGGAAAATATTGATATATGATTGAGCAATGACACTAGACTGAGAGAAGTGCTGAAACATGTCCAGTGTGTGTTCTCACCAAAGTCTGAACACACACGTTTCATCACTCTGTAAAGCCTGTCTGTTGGCTCAATGTAGGAGATGCCTACATTTCATCATTTATTTAATCAGATATTTATTTGTGCATGTGATATTGATTTTTTTCATATCTCTAAGTATATGTACACTTTAAATCACCTGGCTGCACAAAATGAATGGTTGATTTACTTCTGTCAAGCAGTTCAATGCATGCAATAAAACGGTCAGGCCGGTAACTGTGTCGCAGAGTTGGTGCGAAATGATGATTTATGAGTGTGAAGGATCTACATGAGATTTTGGATTCATTCCAATTTTGTGCAACGAGACTATTAAACACCTTTTGACTGGACAGTGTGCTTCTGCTTCCATCTACTCTTTTTAATGCAAAGACATGAGTGAAAATGATAGATGACACTAGTCAGAGAAAAATCTAAAAAAGATTGCAATACTTTTTTGTATTGCTTGGTTGAGGTAGAAAATCTGGTGGAAAAAAATAAAAAAGGGTTAATCAAAACTAACTTGAAGGAAATGCCATACAGGAAGCATTTGACTTCAACACTGAAGCTCCTACTTTCTTACACTTATTAAACTGTTCGCTCTGCTTGTATACACTAACTTTATATTCACATTTTTATTATTTCTCTCTGTACTCATGAAGTTACTTTATACTACAGACAACATCCTGCTTCAGACCACTTATCTGTTTCATCTGCTCATTTGTGTGAGTGTGGCTTAAGCATTTGCATACTTGATATTCAAATGATTCCCAGGAATAAAGGTAAAACAACCCGTCAATAACATCACAGAATGTTTGCCAGTGTTTTCAACTTTGGACATAGGAATCAAACTCTTGAGACATGTACAAGTGTATATCTATAGCTTAAACTGTATAAGTGTTAACTTTGTGAGCAATGTTTAAGAATAGCTTATTCCTAACTCAACATTTCAATGCTGCACTGTTGACATGTTGACACAGAATAATTGAAAAACATATTTTTAGGTTTTTTGGGGGGGGGTTAGGTTTAGTCCACATACAGAATAATTGATATTGCACTGAAAAACTGAAACGTTGATAAGAAAAACAAAGATTAAAAGACACATTAAAAGTAGATATCGCTAATCCACTGAAACAATGACTTTAAATGTATTATGTCAACACATTTCACGTAACTGCATTAGGTTAGTTGAAAGCAATAAGATTAAGTTGAACCTAATCTTTTTTATTTAAACTTAATATTGTTGCTTTCAACTACCCTAATACTGTTATATCTAATTTGTTGACTTAATACATATAAATAAAGTCAACGGTTCAGTTTTCTCAGTGTAGAACTATAATATAAATAAAAACCTAAATGAAACAGTATGATAATAAGAATAATAAAGATTAAAGATCAATTAAAAGTGGGGTGTTGCTAATAAAAAGCTAATCTGTTGTGTGTGTGTTCCTATCTACAGATGGAAGTCTACACAGTGAAAGTAGCAACTGGTACATCAGAGTATTCAGGCACCAACAACTACATCTACGTGACCCTGGTGGGGGAGAAAGGAGAGAGTGAACGCACCGTGCTGGACAACCCCGGACTGGATTTCTGCCGAGGAGCGGTGAGTGTCTGCAGACCACCGATCACTGAGTGTGCTGATTAAACATTTAAACATCGATCGCAGGTATAATTGAACTTTTTGTCTCCTCAACCCCTCCCTCTCCAGGTGGATGAGTACAAGGTGACCAGCCCCTCACCTCTCGGCCCCCTGCTGCTGGTCAGGCTGGAGAAGCAGAGGTACTGGTTGGAGGACAACTGGTTCTGTCGCTACGTCACAGTGGAGCCTCCAGGTGGAGACACAGTGCTGACGTTCCCCTGCTACCGCTGGTTCATCGGAGACACCAAGGTGGAGATAAGGGAGGCCACAGGTAGGACTCAGAATCCACTTCTAATGCTCAGCTGTCAAGGAACCGTTGAGAAAAGCTGCCAACTCTGAACTGACAGTTGCTCTTACATTGCAATGGGATTAAGCACATGTCTCTTTATAGCCAGTGCAATGCAAATTCTGCTGTGTGGACTGATTATTCCATCATCTGGTTTACAATATATGTCCTGACCTGCAATAAACCAGCCATAATATAAACAATAAACTATATACTGTATATATAGTGCAAGCAAACACGTATTACTGATATTCATTTTGGAAAAAGAGTGCAACAAAGTTTTTTGGTGTCCAATAAACCATGGTTAAGGTTATAGAATGTATATAAGAAGTGGACATAGTCACATGATGTCACCCATGGATTTTTGGAATACTTTTTAGGAGCCTTAAGTTAAATGTTGTCGTTTTTGGAAACAGGACTGACATATAGTACAAGTGAATGCTGAACAAGATATTTTGAGGCAACAATAAATGTTACAGTTTACTCTTATGAATTAATAAACTGTAAAGGGATAATGTTGCAAGATAAAAACCTACGGACAACTCCGTGGTAGCAACTCGCCCTAAAGCATACCCAGATTAATCACCTATTTTACTGTAACCATCATTTACAAAATCAAAGTCATGGTGTGTTGAAGAAGACTTCAAATTAATGAAAGAGACCATAAACTTACTGAGACATTTTTTAAAGGTCCCCTATTATGCAAAATGAACTTTTTGATGTCTTTTATAAATCAATATGTGTCCCAAACAAAACCCTCTCCCTTTTCCTCCTTTCCCAAATCTCTAAAAACGGGGGTACAACGGAGCTGATCCATATTTGCGTCCGATATGATGTAATATCGGCAATGTGGTCTGGCTTTACACCCACGGCCCTATCAGAAACGTCGCTATCAGAAACAATGCCGACGTGTTTTGGAAGTAATATGGTCTTGGTTTACATTAGCAAGCATCGCTAACACTCAGAGCTAACGCAGTACTGGAGAGAGTATGTGTAAAAAAGCAAAAAAAAGAACTCACCTTGTGGTAAACCCACAAGAGAAAAAGCATTAGAGCTCCATATTGTTTCAGAAATAATGCTTGATGTGGTTTGGAACATGATATGGCATTTAATCACGGCAGCATTTTGCTGAATATCTGGGTAGAATTCTCCTGCATGAGCCCTCGTCTCTTTTACTACTACTTGGTATTTTGAGCAAAACACTTCATAGACATGTTTCATCTGAGACCTATAATATATGCCTAAAAATATTATAATAGGAGACCGTTAATGAGGAAATAAATCAAGAGCAGATTAAGGTAATTTTCGTATAGACTTCTATACAATAGGACTTCGTTTTGCACCCGTAGAAACAAACCCTGCTGGCTATAAGAAAGAATGACAGTTAAAGTCAAAGGTTAAGGTATGGCTAACCTTATGCATCTGACACACTGGGTGGTGAATTGATGGTTACAGCTAAAAGCAACAGCTAGAAAAAGGTTGCAGTAAGTAAGTTTTCCCTTCCAGAACGACACAATCAATATGACTCATATATGAAGTTGTACCTGCTTTTTGAAGGCACTTCTTCTCTTCAACTGGAATATTCAATAATAATAATAATAATAATAATAGCTTAGATTTATATAGCGCCTTTCATGGGACCCAAGGTCGCTTTTCAGAGAAAAACAGGAATAAAAACAAACAAAAACAAAAGGCAGTCAGACAGACAAAACAACAAATAGATTAGGGGCCAAAGGCCTTGGTGAACAGATGGGACTTGAGGGCCCTTTTGAAGGCGTCAAGTGTGGGGATGTTGCGGATCTCCCCAGGGAGAGCGTTCCAGAGGGTGGGGGCTGCCACACTGAAGGATCTGTCCCCGAAGGTCCGCAGGTTGGTGCGGGGGGTGGTAAGAGTCTGAAGACCGCAGGTTCCGGGGTGGGGCATGTGGGCGGAGGAGGTCCGATAAGTACCGGGGGGCATGGGCATTGTTTGTAGCCTTTATTTAACCAGGTGAAAGCCCCTTGAGATCAAAAGATCTCTTTTTCAAGGGTGACCTGCATGGAGGGACTTGTAGGTAAGGAGGAGGATTTTGAATGATATGCGGGACTTGAACGGCAGCCAGTGGAGGTGGATGAGGGTGGGAGTGATGTGCTGCCACGGCTTTGTATGTGTGAGTACCCTAGTAGCACAGTTTTGGACATACTGGAGCCTGCCCAGGGTTTTGTTGGGGACCCCAAACAGGACACCATTGCAGTAGTCCAAGCGGGAGGTGACGAAAGCATGGACTAAGCTTTCTGCAACCGACTCCGAGAGTGACTGTCGGAGTCTGGCAATGTTCTTTAAATGGAAAAAGTCAGATTTGGTGACAGACTTGATGTGGGAGTGGAAGGAAAGTGTGGAGTCAAAGATGACACCCAGGTTGCGGACTTCAGGGGATGGGGAGATGGAGCAGACATCAACATCAATCTGTTTTCCTGCTGTTGAGCTTGAGGAAGTTGGATGACATCCAGGTTTTTTTATGTCGTTAATTTTGTATTTGTCCGCCAATGGCAACCAACTCATTTGTGAATTTGGATGGAATGATGCGGACCTGTAGCAGGAATGAATGCAAATCAGATATAATCATCACATGCCACATGAATGGAGCATATGTCTTTACCCCAAAAATAATAACCTGTGAACTGAATTCATGCGGAACATGCACTTTTATGTTTTCCCCCTCTCCCTAGCGAAGACCCCAATGCAAGATTCCTTACCCCAGCTGCTGGAGCACAGGAGGAAGGAGCTGCAGGAGAGACAGGCCACTTACAGGTCCACAACCTCACAATACACTGAAGCCCTTTACAGACTGTGTGAATAATATTAATATTCATATGATGCACTGTTCTTTCTTCCTCTTTCAGATGGGTCACATGGGCTCCGGGGATTCCCAGATGTATCGACGCCAAAACAGAAGCAGATTTACCCCAGGATGAACGCTTCGACAACGAGAAAAGGAGCGACTTTGAACATTCACTGCACTACGCGTAGGTGCTTCACACGTATCTCAGTTTTGTTTATCACACTATCAGACTAGATCTGGTTCTCACCAAGAAAGTCCCTTGATAAGATTTGAGTTCCTACTTCCTCAGAATCAGAAACAGGTTTATTGCCAACTGGTTTACGAGGAATTTGCCTTGGCGTATTTGTGAATGCATAAACGCAGTCAAAGACTTAATTGTAAGAAAAGGACCAACAAATAAAGCTATTATTTAAAAAATATATATTTTAAGAAAACTATATTGCTAGAATATAGCAATATTTAGACAAAATATAGATTGAATATCGATATATCTGTAAAAAACAAAAAGAAGTGAAATATGTGCAGATATAAGAGGTAGCTTTGAGTGCAGAATTCAGAGGGTCTTTCAAGACTGACAGTATTAGAATGAACGAGGTACTGTTTTAATGTGATGCTCTCTTCCTTCGCCTCAGATTGCTCGAGTTGTCTCTGAAGAAGCTGGCCATCAGGTTTGGGAAGTCTTGGAATGACTTGGAGGATTTCAAACGAATTTTCTGGAAACTACGAAGTCCCATAGCCGGTAGGTAAATCCACACTCCTCCAAAAACAGAATGACTAAAAGACTGGGTTTCACGAGAAATACAACATTTTGCGACAACACTTCTTAATAACACAGCAACGAAAGATGGAAGTTAAATATAATACAATACTATTTTTTTGCTTTGTATACTGTTTCATAATTTAATGAAAAAGATAAAAAGATACGTGAAAAGAAGTAAAAAACATCTTATTGATATTCATTTTAAGTGTATTATGACAACAGAACAATGTGACCTTAGAAAAGAAGAAAGCTAGATATTTTCGATCAGAAATGATTTTATTCATAGGAAAACCTTACACTCAGCATATTCAGGCAGCAGCCTACACCAACACTGAAACACATGAGCACATACTACAGTTTAAAAAAGCAGAAATAAAATCTGAGCCGACAGAAAATGCTCAGTTTTAGTTTAATACACACAGTTAAGATTACTCACACTATTTATGAACATATAGGTTCACCTACTGAATTAAAAACAAAACAAATGAACCAAAGAAAGTGAAAACCATAAAGCCGATTCAGGCAGTAGGCGTATAGATTCACACTTAAAGTATTATCCTACAGAACAGTACAGCTCACAGAGAAGAGAGAACGTCTGATCCTTTACAACAAAAACTATATGATCTTTTTAGGTTTTTACTAACACTTTAATCCTGCTAGTTATCTCACTTTTTGGGAAATGTAATAGTGATCTGATTTTGTGTTTTTTATGTGACTTTTTTGTATCCTGATTACATAATCAAGTTACAAGTAAACGTTACTTCCCAAGCCTACATAACATTAGATTGTGTAAACCTACATTTCCAAAAAGGTTCTAGATACCTTCAATAGTTTGAGTTCCTCAGAAATGCTCTTAGTTTTTTTGTCATTTCACCGATCATTTTGTATTAACTAGGTCTATTTTGCGGATTAAATAAACTCAAATTAAAAGATAAAATTTTTCTCAATTTATTTATGTTGTTTATTGAAAACATTTGTCTTTTTTTTTATCAACTCAAAATAACAAAGTCAATCAACTGCCAGCATTTGTACGACCTCTGGTAATTTTTCTTGGTTTTTCAGTGTTAATTTAACATCGTGTGTGTGTGTGTGTGTGTGTGTGTGTGTGTGTGTGTGTGTGTGTGTGTGTGTGTGTGTGTGTGTGTGTGTGTGTGGCCCAGAGTACTGCATGGAGCACTGGAAGGAGGACTGGTTCTTCGGCTACCAGTGTATGAACGGCTCTAACCCCAGGATGATCCGGATGATCCAGAAGCTTCCAGAGAACTTCCCAGTAGTTCCCAACATGGTGCAGAGCTCCATGGCTCTGGGGACCCACCTGGACATAGAACTCAAGGTGGAGGAGAGAACCAAAAAAATGCAACTTCAGTCATTTAAATCTTATTTTTACTGAAGTAGTGGGGGTTTGAATTCACTACAGTGAAAATTTCAACATGACATAAAATGTCACTTCCTCAACAAAAAAAATAGAGTGAAATTGAAAAAATCGAAACAGTAATAATTAATTAATTAAAGAACAAAAATGTTAATGAAAAATGGTTGTCATAAAATAATATTGCACCCCCACTACTTGCAAAACTGATAAAACAACAACACACACACACACACACACACACACACACACACACACACACACACACACACACACACACACACACACACACACACACACACACACACACACACACACACACACACACACACACACACACACACACACACACACACACACACACGTGTGGCTTATCTCATCTACATAGTTTTGTAAATGTTGTTCCATATCTTTATTCATTGTCTTTCCTTATTACTGTCTTCTGACATTGTTCTTCTTGGTTTAATTAACATTTCCCATCTGTGAAGTGTAGGTTCTTCCGTCAGTCATTTTGTCTCTGACTTGTTTCCCCCAGGCAGGGAACATCTACCTATTGGACTACGCCATCATGGACGGGATCCCCACCAACACCATCAGAGGGAGACCCCAGTTCATCGCGGCCCCCCTCTGTCTGCTGTACCTGCACCCAGACAACGGACTCATGCCCATCGCTATACAGGTAGTCATCTTCATCTATTTAGCTATACAGTTAAGTTCTCCTGCATTACGTCCACATTAGTCCTGAAGCATTTTCTTGCACTACTTTATTTATACTTTGTTTCTTCTTTTATTTGTTGCATGCAATGGTTTTTGGAGTTATTGAGTATGCGGAGTCCATTTCTTACATTTTCAGGATCAATAATGCTTTTAACTAGAAAATGCCAATATCTGTACTCCCGGTGGGCTGATTTAGAAGATTTAGGGATCTCTGGATCATTTGGATTGGACAGATTGCCTATTTATTTGAGAGAAAAAAAATGGGGAAAGTAGAGATAATAATGTTCATCTTGTTCTCTCTATATCTAATTGTTGCAACATGCTATTCAAAATCAGCCCATCGAGAGTACAAATATGGTCACTTTCTGATTAAAACTGCCATTTTAGATTCTAAAAATATCAGAAATGGATTCAGCATACTCAATAACCCCCACAATAAGTCCAAATGGGCCAAGTAATGTTTTTACTATTGTTTACACAGGCTATAATGCCATTCATTTAAATTAACGCAACTGATGCTAATTGTGCAAATTACCCAACATATGCAGGTTAGCATCCAGCAGTTTCTATGTACTGGGGACCCTACTATACATTTGTATCATATAACTTTGGGGTTCACAGGGCTGGCAACTAGACCAGTAGCTGCTGCGTATGTAACAATAAAGCCTTTGCACTTTGACCTTTGACTGCCTGTTATAGTGTCCCTTGCTTGTCCTCAGCTGGAGCAGAATCCGGACCGGGACACCCCCATCTTCCTGCCCAGCGACCCCCCCCTGGCCTGGCTGATGGCTAAGATGTGGGTGCGTCACTCTGAGTTCCAGGTGTTCCAGCTGCTGTCCCACCTGCTGCGGACCCACCTGGTGGTGGAGGTGTTCTGTGTGTCCACCCTGAGGCAGCTGCCCGCCGTGCACCCCGTATACAAGGTACAGTCTGTACGTCTGATCGGGGGGTCCAAACATCTGTCACTGAGGGCCACTTACAGAAAAATATACACAAAGGGCTGGGCCACTCACTAGAGGTGAGGTATATATATTTCAAATTTGTTTTGCAAATAAATTATTGGGCTTCTTTCATCAAATAAGATTTGTTAAAAACTTGAATTGACTGAATGTATTGAAAATTGGTCTTAAGAACAATATCAGACAAGCACAAGTTTTATGTATTCCATTATACTTAATAATTAAAACTGTAGCTTTCAGTGAGAATATTAAACCATGTCTTTGTAATATTATGGTTTCAAGGTCACATATTGTGGTCAATGTGAAACTACAAGACTCATTTTCAAACGTTGGCTGGTAATAATTTGAAGTGAAGTACAAGTACCTTAAAAATGGTACTTAATACTGTAATTTTAGAATCCAATATTTTACTTTGAACTCCACTACATTTATTTGTCAACATTGAGTCACTAGTTACTTTTTAGATTTAGATTATTAGTGAATACAAATATAAATAAATTATTAAATAAACTTTGACATATATGTATAGGTTAAGGTAACCTGCAATTGCAACAAGATATTCGTAGGTGCTATTTATTACTATTGCTTGTCTTCTTCAGAGCCTTCTTCACTTACCAATTAAACTCAAAGGACTTCTAGTGGCTCATAATTCCATAATTATTTTACTGGCAAGCCTTTAAAGTAAAAAAAATAAAGGCAACTGGAAACAATTAATGAATGAAAACATTATTTCTCTTCTCAATATATTTTTTTTCCAGAAGTTACAAGGTGAGACAATACCAACATATTAAGGACAACACATAATAAAACCCACAAAACAAAAACAGACTAAGAAGGGACAAACAAACAAACAAACAAACAAACAAACAAACAAACAGCAATCTATGTCTATTACTCACATTGCAGAGGAATTGTAACCTTTTTCAGATGAGGTGTTTTCCAGATCTTAACAGCTCTGTTCTCTGGTTGTCATGGTGTTCTGATCAGTGTTCTGTTTCTCCTGCAGCTCCTGTCCCCTCACCTGCGCTACACCCTGGAGATCAACTGCAGGGGGCGCACTCAGCTCCTCTCGTCCAACGGCATCTTCAAAAGGGTGTGTCACAGAAAAATAATATGTAACTGGAAGGTTTAACTTCCCCACCTCATAGTTTGATCCATTTTAAAATACTTGTATTGGTTTTTAAAGCTCTTATTGGTCTTGGGCCTAGCTTTTTTTTAATCAGTTTTGCTTTTAACCCCTCTGGACCCCTCAGGTCTTCTGTTACCGGCAGTTTAATCATACCCAAAGTGAAAACAAAGACCCCCGGTGAGGGGTCTTTTTCTTATTACGGCCCACCACTGTGGACCAGCCTCTCAGAAGACCTGAGGGCAAGGATTTATTCAGATTGTATCTGATTTTATTCTGATTTTATTCATTTATATGTATTTTATTTGTATGTATTTTATTTGAATTTATTTATTGATTTTATTCCTTTTTTATTCAGTCCCTTAGTTGTTTTTAATCACAAAGCTGGTGAATCACTTTTGTGTATGAAAAGTGCTACATAATTACATTTTGATTTGATTTGAAAATGATATTATGTGTGTAATTGTAATTTCACCTATCATTTTGTATTAACTAGGTCTATTTTGCGGATTAAATAATCTCAAATTAAAAGATAACATTTAACTCAATTTATTTATGTTGTTTATTGAAAACATTTGCCATTTTTTATCAACTCAAAATATCAATAATAATATAAAATATAATATAAAACAAAGTCAATCAATTGCCTGCATTTCTACAAGCTCTGGTAACTGATCTTGGTTTTTCAGTGTTAATTGTGTGTGTGTGTGTGTGTGTGTGTGTGTGTGTGTGTGTGTGTGTGTGTGTGTGTGTGTGTGTGTGTGTGTGTGTAGGTTGTGTCCACCGGGGGGGAAGGCCTTATGATCCTGGCCCAGAGGGAGTACAAGGTGCTGACGTACCGCTCCCTGCAGCCCCCCCGCGACTTCGCTGACAGGGGTGTGTTCCAGCTCCCCAAATACTTCTACAGAGACAACAGTCTGATGCTATGGGAGGCCATTCACAGGTACACGACACACACCGATATTTAGCAGATCTTACTTCTACACTTTCATTTTTAACAGAGATCCATTTTAATCCATAATAATATTGTAGGACATGAATGATCATGCTTGTTCACAATCAAGAGCTTTATAAAGCCATATCACAATGTAGGGTGTTTTTTTATTTTGAGGTACCTGAGTGGTTATAATGATACAGACTTGTACAGAGCTCCCTAGAGTTCAACAATATAAAATATGTATTTTGTGTGTTTGTGCACAGGTTATGCACATTTTCAGGTTCACATTTATATGTAGTGTCTCTACTGGGACATGTCTCCATGCTTTAATGTTCAAAAAGCTCTTTATTTTTCTCATACTGCCTGTGCTGCAGCATCTCTTTTCACCCTCTGTCTGAAACTTGAAACTGGGATTGTAAAATAATGAAGGAACTGTTAACCTAATAATAAATTATTTGTATTCTGTGCCTCTTTCTCTAGTTTTGTCTCGGGCATTGTGAGTCTTTATTACCATTCAGACGAGGACGTGACGGAGGACCAGGAGCTCCAGGCCTGGTTCAGAGACATCACTCAGGAGGGCTTCACAGAGCTGCCCAACTTTGGTCAGTTTAATGTATATCATTATTTTATTACAACCAGGGTTCGAGTTATAATCTGAGTTTTATGGGGGTCTTTAAAACTGTCTGTGTCTGTGTGTGCACGCACGCACACACACAGACACAGACACACACACACACACACACACACACACACACAGCCCTCTACTTGCTACAAACTTAAATATGAAAAGGTTCAATTACGCACACACACATCATCTCGGCTCGCGCAGCACGCTCACAGGCATAGATTGCGCAATAATGTATTGCGCACCTTGGAGGTGCAGTACTGGCATATTGTCATTCAAGAGAGTGCGTTGATCTTTTGGAAAACATGTTTTTCTTTTAGCCTATTTACCTCGTTAACGTAAATAACACTCATTACGTTGACACATGCATTATTTGTGATTAAAATAATGGTTGTTGGTAATGTATTAGCGACCCCCACAGATGTATGATTTCACTGCTTTCATAGGAGCTCAGACCCCTCCTTGTGGGAGCTCAGGTCCCATTGACTCCCACATAACTCCAACCCTGATTACAATGTAAAAGCACAAAAAACAGAATACATACAAAACATATATAAACATGAGATAATTAATCCTGATTATTTCCACCTGTTCAGGTCTGCCCAGCAGGCTGACCCTGGAGGAGCTGAGCACCCTGCTGTCAGTGGTCATCTTCATCGCCACAGCCCAGCACGCTGCCACCAACAACGGACAGGTGCTCACATCACATTCACTCAAGTACTGTACTGTTTTGACATATTTGTTCTTGAGTATATTCATTTAATGCTACTTTAAACTTCTACTCCACTACATTCAGAGGCAAATATTGAACTTTTTTTCCCACTATATTTATTTAACACTCACAGATACAGTTACTTTGTACATATAAAACATATTGTAATGCAGTACTGTAATACTAATATACTCTGGATTTCAAGTATCTAAATTGCTCCACATTGACCAACTATCATACTAAAACGCTCCTACATGTATAAAAAGAGGATAATATATAACCATAATAATATAATACTGTGAAAAGATCCATTCTGCAACAAGTACTTTTTGCTTTTGATACTTAAACTACACTTAGCTGATAATACTTCTGTACATTATATTCTTCCGAAATGGGTCATTGTGCAGAATGAGAACTTTTTATTCTCTTAGATCTCTTAGATGTTAGATCTTAGATTAGATCTCCTATCATGCAAAAGTATGTTGAGATCAGGACTTTTAATTATAATGTAGTACTTTAAGATAATAGTATTTGTACTTACTAAGTACTTCTTCTCACACTGATTATTGCAAAAGTCAGTTTTGAGATGTAAATTGTTGGAGGAAATAGTTCTACATCCCACTCAGGGCTCTGACTCCTCCTCTCTCTGATGTTTCTCCAGTTTGATTGGTGCGCCTGGGTCCCGAACACCCCCTGCACCATGAGACACCCCCCCCCAGCAGACAAAGATGCTGTCACCATGGAGATGATCATGGCCACCCTCCCTGATGTGAGCCAGTCCTGTGTGCAGATGGCCATCACATGGCATCTGGGGCGGGCCCAGCCAGACGCAGTGAGTATATCTGTCAGGTGATCGTTAACGTGATGAGGACTCCATTACTTCCTGTCGTGGCGTTTTAGTGCATTTCTCAAATAAAAAGCCACTGTCCTTTGGGTTCTGACTCGCCTCAATTTGTTTCCAAATGTAACGTTGCATCACATCATATTTATTTAGCAATAGGCGGCATGTACATATTTAAACTTCCTTCATTTAAATGTAACAAAAATTAGTTCTCTGTGTAATCTAATATAACAAAAAAGATTGTGGTTAAATATATACTATATATATTATATTTTGACATTTTATTCATCAAGCGTTTATCAGGTGCTCAAATAGGGTAAAGAAAACGGGGGTAAAAAATACGAAATAAATAAAATGTCAAATTAAAATCGAGCAATAAAACAACATTTAACACAATGACATTTGACACACATTGTAAAAATTGTGTTACATATTCTTTAACTTTTTAAATGTTGTATGCTATTTTATTTCTATTTCTGAAATATTTTGGACTGTTCATTTCTTGTGTCTTAATTTCTCTTATGTACATTGCCTTGTGTTTTTTATGCTGCTGCAACGCAAACATTTCCAAAATTGGGATCAATAAAGTATATATCTCTCTCTCTATATCTATCTATCTATCCATCCATCCATCCATCCATCTATCTATCTATCTATCTATCTATCTATCTATCTATCTATCTATCTATCTATCTATCTATCTATCTATCTATCTATCTAATCTATCTATCTATCTATCATTCTCTCTCTCTCTCTCTCTCTCTCTCTCTCTCTCTCTCTCTCTCTCTCTCTCTCTCTCTCTCTCTATATATATATATCTATCTCTCTATCCATGCAAGTGTTATTCACAAAAAATAATAATTAAATACGTTCAATCTAAACCACTTGGCAAAAGTTCCAGCAATAATCATCTTAAAGTAAACTGGCTCTAACACTTCCTCTGTAACTTCCTGTTTCCTCCTGCATAGATTCCTTTGGGCCAATACGCTGAGGAGCATTTCAATGAGGGGCGGGCCCAGGAGGTGATTGACAGGTTCAGAGCAGAGCTGAAGGAGATCGAGGAGCAGATCCTGGGTCAGAATGAAGGACTGGAGCTCCAGTACCTGTTCCTGCTGCCCAGCCGCGTGGAGAACAGCATCACCATTTAGAGAACATCCAGATAGAGTCAGGGAGTCATTACATTCAATGTTGTATTCAAAAGAAAACACAAGTATGGAGAAATATTTGTGTATGTGTTTGAATATGAAACATTTTATGGAATATGCAGTGTGTTGTAAAGTTGTGGAAGAAATACTCAGATCTTGTACTTCAGTCAAAGTTGCAATACTACATTTCATGCAATCATTCAAAAATCTTACTTAAGTAAAATTAAAAAAGTTTGCCATTAAAAATATACTTAAAGAGACAAAAGTAAAAGTACTCGTTATGCTTAATGGGACATTTCAGGATTCACTTAGGAGTACTGCATTAATTCATCCATCACAATTGGTAAAGTTTGAGCTAATTTGAATGACTTTGTAAACTGATCTGAATATTTTAGCCTTAAATTAAAAGTACATTTTTTACTTATTAGTTGATTTATAATTGGTTTTATCTCATAATCTGAACCTATAAAGTAATTAGTAACTAAAGCTGCCAAAGTATTGAGTGTCATATATTTAAAAGACTCAGGTAAAGTACAAGTACCTCAAATGTGTACAGTACTTGAGTAAATCTACTTTATTAAATCCCACCACTGGTGTTGTACAAAGTGTACAATGTGTAGCAGTAGACATATTTTGTCATGAAACCAATATTTTTCTACATGGATATTTATCACTATTATACATTTGAAAAGATATAATTATAGATGTTAATGTGTAAAGAAAATAATGCGGATAGTCAACTAACTGTGGATATGATGTACTGTTGAAATGTAAGGACATATACAAGTATAAGTGAATGACATTTTAGGTTTGTGTGCGTAATGTACATTTTGGACATGAATATAGAAAATATGATATTCTGAAGTACTGTACAAACAAGTTAGCGGAATGAAATGAATAATGTGATCCAATGACATTCCTAGCACCGGTGTTTACTGGCCAAATATAAGAGGAACGACAGAATAATGAAGACAAATGAATAGTGTACTGAAAAAGTACCAGAAAAAAGACTATAATATGTAGGAAAAATTAAGGCGGATTTAGTATGTCTGTCAAGAATGAAAGAAAAAACAACATAGTACAGTATGTTGTTTTTTTATATTTTCGACATACTATACTGTGCTGTTTTTTAAAATACTTTCAACCTTACTATGTGTTTTTTTTTTTTTTTATATTTTAGACGTACTATACTATGTCGTTATTTAAATATATATGCCACTTTTTTGGTATATTTGACATACTATGTCGTTATTACATTTTTTGGACATACTATGTTGGTTTTAAAAAACTAATATTTTCAACATATTATACTATGCTGATTTTAAAAATACTTTCGACATAGTATATTATGTTTTAAAAAAAATATTTTGGACACTATTGTGTCCTTTTTTAAATAATTAACATGCCGTTTTTTAAAAATACTTTCGACATACTATATACTATGTTGTTTTTTACATTTTCAACATATACTATCATTAATAGTGTGTAAAAATTTATATTTTCTTGACAATATTCCATTTTTATTTGTGTGTGTGCAATGTGTGCAAGTTGGAGTCTTGGTATGTCATTACCCATGAATATGTATGTTGCACTTAAAACTTAAATAACTTCAATTACAGATTTTGATGATGTCTTAAAAAGTAGAACATTCCAGTTTACAGTTTATTGAAATAAAGGACATATAAACGTTTAAATAAAAAGCTTTCCAGGATTCATGTGAATAAAGCGAGCATCTATATACATTTAATGCGAACGTGGCCATAAATAGAGACAGGATATGATTTTCTTGAGGCACTGTACGGTGATAAGATTCCACACACAACTGGATACTGGCAATTTGAAATACATGAATACAAGAGCAAATCAGGACAATATCATTTACAACCCTTACATGTAGTTAACTCTGGAGAACAGCATTGGGTATCTTCATGGCACAAACAAATCATTTTAGCACTTGTGATCAGAGGTAGAATCATTCTAATTTGAAATACAGAAAGGTGCACAACATTGATCTGCTCACAGCCCCCCCCCGTAGATCATCTTCAGGAGTTTAGATCCTGAGAAGACATGATCAGAGAACTTCTTGGCCAATCAGCAGGCACTAGTGCACCAGGTACTCCTAAAGAACAGAAAACAGTTACCGGTATATCATTACATATAAAACTGGTTAAGGACATATTTAATAAATAATCAGAGGTGCAAAAGTACTCAAATGATTCCCTTAAGACAGTAAAAGTACAATAATACATTGTAAAATTATTCAGTTACAAGTAAAAGTCCTGCATTCAAAAGTAAAACTCATTATGCAGAATGCACGATTCAAGCACCATATACAGTGGGGCAAAAGAGTATTTAGTCAGCCACCAATTGTGCAAGTTCTCCCACTTAAAAAGATGAGAGGCCTTTAATTTTCATCCTAGGTATACCTCAACTATGAGAGACAAAATGAGAACAAAACAAAAAAATCCAGAAAATCACATTGTCTGATTTTTAAAGAATATATTTGCAAATTATGGTGGAAAATAAGTATTTGGTCACCTACAAACAAACAAGATTTCTGGCTCTCACAGACCTGTAACTTCTTCTTTAAGAGCCTCCTCTGTCCTCCACTTGTTAACTGTATTAATGGCACCTGTTTGAACTCGTTATCAGTATAAAAGACACCTGTCCACAACCTCAAACAGTCACACTCCAAACTCCACTATGGCCAAGACCAAAGAGCTGTCAAAGGACACCAGAAACAAAATTGTAGACCTGCACCAGGCTGGGAAGACTGAATCTGCAATAGGTAAGCAGCTTGGTGTGAAGAAATCTACTGTGGGAGCAATTATTAGAAAATGGAAGACATACAAGACCACTGATAATCTCCCTCGATCTGGGGCTCCACGCAAGATCTCACCCCGTGGGGTCAAAATGATCACAAGAACGGTGAGCAAAAATCCCAGAACCACACGGGGGGACCTAGTCAATGACCTGCAGAGAGCTGGGACCAAAGTAACAAAGGCTACCATCAGTAACACACTACGCCGCCAGGGAC